GGGGTCCCCCAAGACTTCTTCTCCCTCTTGCCACACGTGCTCCCTAAGTTTGGCTCACACAGACCAGGCAGGGTTCTTTGTTTAATATTTTATTACAAGAACCCTCCTACAATGATATTCTTTTAAAAGTTTGTAGACATTGATTGTTTCCAAAAGCAATGTAGCTATCTATATACAGCTTTTGGAAAAAATCAAACCATCTCCAATTTCTACTTCCCTTACACAATTATTTTATATATTCATTCCCAGCTTCTTTCCACACTCCACACACCCACACGCCCACACGCAGCCTGGGGTTGAACTTGGAGTCTCACGCATGCTAGGCCCAGTGCCCTGCCTGCTGAGCTCCACCCCAGCCCCATGACATCCTTCTCCTTTGCTGTTTTGAGACAGGGTCACCCTATATTTGCCAAGCTGGCCTTGAACTCATGGTGATTCTCCTGCCTCAGCCTCCTGAGGGCAGGATGACAGGTGTCCACCACTTTGCTCAGCAAGTTTTATTGCTATTTATTTAGTTTTAATGGGTCTCTTTGGGACATACAGAAATGTGGAATTAATGGGGACAGCCGCTCTGTCAGCAAACTGTATATTTAGAAATAATTCCTGTTGTGTTAGGTGCTTTCTGCAGCTCCGACACCCTCACTGTCATGTCTATTTTGGGTGCAGTTGTGGAATCCAAGGGTCTGGTGAACTTTTTTAAGAGTCCTTAGGGTTAGTGACAAATTACTTCCCAGAATGGTGGCCATTTGGTGCATGGGTGAGATTTGGAGCCAGGCTCAGTGCTGCATATCTGTAATCACCTAGAGAGGCTGAGGCAGGAGGATCATGATCAAGTCCTGCCTGGGCAACTTAGCAAGCGCCTGTCTCAAAATAAAAATAAAAGGGCTGAAGATGTAATGCAGTGGTACTGTGCCTCTGGGTTTGATTTCCAGTTCTGAAAAAATAAAATAAACCAGGTGTGGTGGTGCATGCCTGTAATCCCAGCACTCAGGAGGCTGGAGCAGGAGGATCTCTGTGAGTTCCAGGCCAGCCTGGGCTATATAGCAAGACCCTGACTCAAACCAACCAACCAACCAAACAAAAATAAAGTAAAATAAAGAAGGGAGAGTATACTCAGAAAGAAGGCTGAGCCGAGCTGGGCAGGTGGGGGCATCTCTCAGGCCTCCTGGAGCCTGGGTTTATAGGACTTGGGGCAGTCATGGATGGCAGACACAGTGTTCCAACGCAGTGTGGCTCCAGTCCCCTGTCCAGGGCCCAGGTGACATCCAAGGACTTTGAACTCAACTGTATTGGGGACACAGAGGCCAGGCCAGGATGGGTGTTGCCTAGCAGGTGGCAGTCCCCAGGGCCTTCCAATCTGATCTGCTAGGTGTGGCGCTTTGAACACCTGTATCATGGGCAAGATGAGGGGACAGTGGCTGGAGAAATCTGAAACTGCAGGAAGTGGCTGTCCCCTCCCACGATGTGGGGTAAGGGTGTCTTGTTCTCCATGAGGTGGGCTATGCTGGACTGGGAGGCCTGTTTTATAGTGACATGTGCCTCTGTCCCCACTGTTCCCAAAGGAGGTAGGTTTGCACTTGCAGAGGGACCTTTTAACAAGACTTTTAGATAGTGGGCCAGGTGACAAGTGGCACTGTCCCCACCTAAGACACATGCAGCCAGGCCCCTCCCCTCGGGGACCCCTCAGGCTCGGTCCTGAACCATTGCAAGCGCATGGCCTTTGAGAGTCCATGGGCCTTGCGGGTTGGACACTGCATGTGGCTGGAGTGGGTGCAGATTCGTCTCCACCTGCGCCCCCTGCCTTCCTCCTGGAAGCTTCCTGGCAGGCCTGGTGCCTGGCCCAGAGTGGGCGTGGTGGCCGGTGGTTTAAACCTTCATCCCTGTGGTGTTGTGCAGCCCCTTACCTTCTTCCTGTTTGCTGTGCTGCTCATGTGACATGGTGAGGGTTCTTCAGTCCTTTGGATGACAGACTTACCTGTGGGTAACAATGTGACATTAGTTCCAGACCCTCACTGGTGTGATGGGAGGAGGGGGACAGTGAGGTATGGGGAGGAGGGGCAAGGAGAAATGGGGGTGGCCGTGCCAGAGGGACATGGGACACTGGACACAGGCTGTCACTGAGCCTGCTGGGAGGCCAGGGGAAGAGAAGGAACCCTGAGGATACTCCACTGCCACCTGTCCCACCCTCACGTGCCCCCAGATTCCAGATGTGGCTGTGTGGGCCTTGTCTTTCCCTGTAAGCAGGCGTCCAGGGCAGAGGGGTGGTCCCTATGTGTCCCCTCCGACTGAGGTTGCAGCAGGGCAGTATGGAGGTGGGGGCCCTTCTGTGACCGGCCCTCGGGCTGCTGCATCCTGAAGGGCAGGTGTCGTTGCCACAGTGCCCATGACGTGGCTTGTCTGGGCCACCTTGGCCGGCGTCTCTGTCGTGTTTTCAGTTTATCTGTGCCGCTGGGGTCGTCCCTGAACCCGCGCTTGTTTGACTGCTGTCCACCTGTGTGTTGTCATGACACCAAGGGGGGCAATCTGTCCTTGTCCCCAGAGGCCTGGGGTCCATGTGGAATGGTTGGGTGGAATTTGCTCCTGTCTGCGACGTGTAACCACGGCCTATAGGTCCAGCAGAGTGTTTCTGCCTCAGCCTCCCCAGTGCTAGGATCACAGGTGTGCGCCCCCACACCAGCCTGCGTAGTTTTTGTTTTGTGCTAAGGATGGTGCTGGAACCACGTGCCTGCTACACCCCCAGCCAGGGGTGGGGAAGCACCTTTCAGAGCTTGGAGCAGTGGGAAGGGTGGGGACATTTCAGTGTAGGGCCTCGAGACCTCGGGGAGAGGTGGGGGAGAAGGGCTGCTGTCTTGGGAGGGCGGGGACCACACTGCTCCGAATTTCCCCATCGTGTGGCGGCCTGCCTCTTCCCCATGGGGCTGACTTCTACCGTGTCACAGCTGGTTTCTGCCTCAGGGACATCCTCTTCACTTCTTGGGGCCCACCGTGACAGGAGAGGAGAGGGGAGGCTTGCCCAGCCAAGCGGGCCTGCCAGGCACTCACTGGCCATCTCTTGATGGCCCGATTCGAGGTACCCAGCCCCCACCAGCCTGCTCTGCATCTTCCAGCGCCTCTGCTGGGTTTCCATGGCAATGCCGCTGCTGGGTAACGATTGCAGGGAGAAAGGCATCCTTGTGATTCTGCCTCCCAGGGCGCCAGTGTCCCACGTCCCGTCCCACGTATGCGGATGCCCTGCCTGCCTGGGAGTGCGGAAGCCGCCTCCTCACACAAGGGCAGGAACAGCCCCCCTTCTCTCTGCTGCCACTCAAGGCGGCAGCATGGCGAGCTGGCACACCATCAAGTGTTCACTCGCCAGCTGCGGGATGAGGCAGGAGGATCGAAAGTTTGAGCCCAGCCTGAGATATTTAGAGAATTCGAGGCCAACCTGGGCTACATGGCGAGACCCTGTCTTTTGTTTATGGTGCTGAGAGTCGAACCCAGGGCCTTTCGAATGCTAGGGAAGTGTTCTGCCGCTGAGCTGTCCCCTGCCTGCAGACCCTGTCTCACTTCTTGTGCACCAGACCAAGGGCAGTCGTGTAGTACAGTCATTGGATTGTGCTGAGGCTTTAGTGTTCACGGCCTTTGTTTTGAATACTGTCGATTTCATGGCCAGTTTTTACACTTGGAGTCTTGGCAATGGCTGTTTTTACCAACTGGCTCCAGGTGCTATTTGCGAGGGCTTTGTGCCACTCTGTGCCTCTGTCAAAGGCTCACGGGGACAATATCTCTGATGGCCGTACCGCTCAGCCCCTCTCCAGCAGCCCCACCAACGGTGGCACCTGCAGTCCAATGGACTCTCTTGTGTGCTTCCCACCTATGCCCTCTTGGTGGAAAAGCTCTGTTTTGCTGGGGCACTAGCACATGTCAGTAATCCCAGCACTTGGGAGGCTGAGGCAGGAGGATCGCTGTGAATTTGAGGTCAGCCTGGGTTACATAGTGAGTTCAAGGCAAGCCTGGACTACATATTGAGACCTTGTCTCAAACAAAACAAAACAAAGGAAATGTACTTTTCAGAACATGACAATTTGGGGGAGAAGGGAAACACTGAAAACAAATGATTATCTCTAAGGCTATAAAGAAATAACAGAAAGGTGACTGGCTGGGAACCGTTGCTGAGGCCAGGAGGGGCCTGGACAACCTGGCTGTGGGCTGTCGTGTTCAGCCACTAACCCACGACTGTGCAGCAGGGAGGGAGGCGGTGTGGGTACCTGGAGGAGTGCAGCCCTGGCGTGGGGTCCTCCTGCTGTCTTGGCCCTGGTGACAGGCGCCTCCGGGCCTCTGCCCACCCATGTCCCCCAGGCAGGTGATATCTGTCCCTGTGCCTGCAACTGGGCACAGCCTTGCACGAGCCCTACACTGCCTCCCCCACAAAGGCTTTCTTGTCACTTTTGTGCCCCGGCTCCTGGTGGCATTTGTTACCTGTTCCTTCTCTACTGGCTTCCACTCCACAAAGAGCCCTTCCTGGCTATGTCCTAGACATGGCCCCTTCTCCTGGCTGAGCCGCAGGTCCTGCATATGCAGAATGGAAGCACTGATGGCCTCTCCCTCAGGGCTGTTAGGGCTCAGGACTCAGTAGAGACTGGCATCTGAGGGCCTGCCTAGAGCCCTGGCTGGCTGGCTTGCTTCCTTCTTTCCTTCCTTGGCAGTGTGGAGGATGGGCCCATGCACTCAAGCCCAGCATTGTACCCCAGAGCTGCCCCCATGAGCTTTTGGGCCTCAGTGCCACCCAAGGAGAAGCAGGTCCTGGTGGGAGCGGGTAGGATGGCCAGGCCGGCTCTTGCTGAAGGAAGCTCCTGCTCTAACCAGTGCCCAGTCACTGGCTCACCTGCCCACAGCGGGGCCCAGTGAGGCCCAGACAGCTCTCAGGATGGCCAGGGCCATCTGTGGTGGAGCAGTCGGGACCCCTGGCCCTCACCCGCAGGCACCCTCCCAGGCCCTCACCAGGCGTGTCTCTGCCGCAGGTGAATGGGAAGGAGCTCTCCAAGCTGTCTCAGGAGCAGACGCTGGAGGCCCTCCGCACCTCCAAGGAGCCCCTGGTCATCCAGGTGCTGAGACGCAGCCCCCGCTATGGGAAGGAGCTCTCCAAGCTGTCTCAGGAGCAGACGCTGGAGGCCCTCCGCACCTCCAAGGAGCCCCTGGTCATCCAGGTGCTGAGACGCAGCCCCCGCCTGCGGGGGGACAGCTCCTGCCATGACCTGCAGCTGGTGGACAGTGGCACTCAGACCGACATCACCTTTGAGCACATCATGGCGCTGGGCAAGCTGCGCCCGCCCACCCCGCCCGGGGGCATCCTGGAGCCGTATGTCCTGTCCGAGCTGTGAGTTGCCCTCAGGAGGGCCCCAGGCCTGCTCCAGAGAGGACTTGCCACCCAGAGCGGCACTGACAGGGCTCCAGCCTTGGCCTCACACAGCTGCTCCTCCATCTCTCCCCGCTCTCCTGACCCCTGAATCTTGTTGCCTCCCGGTCCCATTTCCCATTCCTCCGCCCACTCTGAGTCCCCTCCATCTCTTTGGCCTCTCTCGGCTCGCCTGGCCCACAGCCCCGCTGCAGGAGGTACGGCAGTCTGCCCCCTGCAGGTGGAGGGGTGCCCGTCTGTTCCGCACATGGCCTGGGGCCTGGGTAACTCCTGAGGGCGCTGCATGCGTGGGCTGGTGCTGTGGGTGGTGGGGTGCCTGGAGTTTTGGAGAAGTCGGTCCCCAGTGTGAGGACAGGTGGGGAGAGCTGGGACACAGGGGGGCACACGCTCAGGAGCAGCGGCTTCTGGAGGAGGCACAGCCACCCCCCCCCCAAGCGTGGCCCGATTAGGGCCAAGCACACTGGGACTGGCCAGCCGGGAGTGGGTTCTGGGGTATAGGAAGCAGCTGGCTTGCCTGACGCCCACCTTCTCCTGGGCAGCACCCCCATCAGCCATGAGTACTATGACCCGGCAGAGTTCATGGAGGGAGGCCCGCAGGAGGTAGACCGCATGGATGAGCTGGAGTACGAGGTGAGCTCGGCCTGGCATCCCACTGAGCCAGGGAGGGCGCGGGTGAGGTGGCCCATTCCACCTCTGCCGGTGAGTCCGTGTCCCTGCATGTGTTGTCCCATGCGTCCATGTGTCCATGTGTGTTATGTGTCCTGTGTACCCCAGGCGTTTCCTGATAGGGTGACACTCCGAACACGTGCCACTTGGGATGGTAAGAGAAGTGAGCCCTCAGGGCCAGGGACTGAACCGCGAGGTGTCTGGAGTCAGGGCCCGGCTGAGGCAGTGAGGCCGACTCTGGTACTCCTCGTTCACGGGCATGGCCTTTCTGCCTCTGCTTCCTCCCATCCTTGCGGCAGGAGGTGGAGCTTTATAAAAGCAGCCACCGAGACAAGCTGGGCCTGATGGTGTGCTACCGCACGGACGATGAGGAGGACCTGGGCATCTATGTTGGAGAGGTATGGGGGCTGCTGACAGCTTCTGTGTGACTGGCAACCTGTGGTCGGCCCCTGGGACCTAGCCGGGCCTGATGTCTGTGTATGCACAGGAGGGCACACAGTTCCCCAACACCCCTCTACTAGCAATATTCTTTGTGCTGTTGTTTTGAGACAAGGCCTTGCTAAGTAGTGCAGGCTGGCCTTGAACTCACTATGTAGCCCAGGCTGGCCTCGAACTTGCAGTGATCCTCCTTCCTCAGCCACCTGAGGGCTGGGATGACAGACAGGCACCACCATGCCTAGCTTTGTACTGGCAACACCCCAGTGGGGCTAACCTTTCGAATGGTAAAGGGACCACTGCCCATCCAGCCCCTAGGCTGATGTCCTTGGCCCAGCCCCTGGCAGAAGAGTAGGCTCCTGTGCAAAGGAGCATGGGACTGCCAGAAGGGCGGGGGTGCAGGAGCATCCCTGGCCCCAACTCCTGAGCTGCAGTGGGACAGGGAGCCTCCAGTTTGCTTTGCAAGCCCCTGAGGAGAGGCTGCCCCTTCCCACTGCACAGGGCACCTTGGGTGCCAGGTGCCCAAGATGTATGTGTCCTGCAGGTGAATCCCAACAGCATTGCAGCCAAAGACGGCAGGATCCGTGAGGGGGACCGCATCATCCAGGTGAGCCCCGCCCCTCTCCCCGCCCCTCCCTAGCCACGCCCGCCGCGGCCCGGCCTGCTGCTCAGCTGCC